TAATTTATTAAAATATAAATTTATTGCAGAATTTGATAAAAAATCAGATTCTATTTAAAAGTAATACCACAGGTATTTTTTATTTTAAAAAGTTGCTTACATATACAGCTGTATGAAGATGTTTTACCTCTTCTGTACCTAGCGCCATAACAGATGTGCTTCTTTTGTTCTAGATACACATACCTATGTATTTTTCTCAGCTACAACCCTGCCTCAAAGATGCTTGCATGTGTTATGGAGTAAAGGAAAGTTACTTACCTCTTCCTTTGATTTTTCTTTCTCCTTACTTCCTTTTCGTTCCAGTCTGTGAGAAGAAATGAAACAATTACAACAAATAATAAATATAGCTGCTATCAGTCAGGTAAACATAAAATATTGCCATTCTGGAACTTGCCTATTCTGGTCAAAGAATTCAATGGATAAGCTTATTATCTCGTCGTCTGTTATAATTCTTTTGTCTTCGTCAGCCACTTCTCCCCTGTCTTCATTAGAGCCATTGGCAGCTGCGCAGAAATTTCCACAATAATTTACATTTTGAAATTCAAATCAGGAAGAATGGCAATTCTCAGTAACAAGAAAAAAAAAAATCTCCATAGTAAGATTATGAATTAAAGCTACCTAGCTGTTAAAACAATAAACTTTTATTATGCTGAATTTACTTCTTAAAATTCTGTCGTACATAATTTGTAAGTTAAAAAGGAAACAGCAAAGCATCTAGGTCAACGCTACATTTATTAAAGTTGCGAACGAGAAGCTTTTACCATCAGCCGACGGATGAGCAGCATAAAAATCCCTTCTTCTTTTCATTTCATCTAGATGGAAAAGCACACATTTTTCTTTTAGTACGTACTCTGTAACTCCTGGTACTGATATAGGATAGCAGCTCTGGTTTTGTTTTTCTGCTCTTTAAGAAAAAACCCGATTTAACTACTTACTTTTGAAAAGGCCTGGTACTAGCTTGTATACAATATCTTGGAGAGTTTTATCTGACCTGAAAAAAGAACAACCCCAAAACATAAAATTAAGCAGATGAATTGATGTTTTAATCCAAGCAGCAGCTCCTCATTTATAATCTTTCACAACAATGAGGCATCTTCTACAAAGCGGGAGGCTAGTCATAAAAAGTTAACTTACAAGACCTTGTAATCAAACTAAGACTGCTCTAAATACCGCTATAAAACAAAACTCATCTGTGCTACCACAACTGAAAAATAATTCTCTCAGACTGAAGGAAGGCCTTAAAAACTACATGTCCTCCCTAGAAAATAAAGAGAGCAAAAAGTAACGTTGACAAGAAAAATATTTCTGAAAGGAGAAGCATGCTTTGAAGGCTTTTGCCTCTTAGCTTGGAAAGTTTCAGCGAGAGTTTTCATGACTAGGAGCTATGGCTGGAGTGAAGCATGTCTGGGAGAAACAGAAAGTGGAGGAAGAAACTGTCGGGATGGTACACGTGAGAATGGGAGAGAGGGAAGGGGCATTGCATCAGTGGCTGGCATATGCAAAAAAGGACTAACAAAAACTTTCTGTCTCGCATCCAGAGAAATCTTCAATTTCAATCAATGACAAAACTCCAAAGAGAGAGCATGCACACGAGTTAGCTTGTAAACTGACAAGTCCTTTCAGATTTAAATCGCAGACGAAGAGATAACATCTACACGACTACTGCTGGTCTCCCCATATAAAGTAAAATAAGAGATGCAGGGTGCGCATTGCATCATTCTCCTACCTTATATTCAAAAGCGGCCGAGTTTTGTGAACTTGGACATCACAGATAGGACAATACTTGCTGGTCTCCAGGTAACGCACGATACAGGTCTTACAGACTGTAAGTCAAACACGAAAGCCTTTTAGTGATGGTCGTAGGTGACGCTCAGATATGCATCGATAGAGGTGCGATTTTCTAAAGTATGCAAGCTAGAGCAAATCGTCCATTGTCAGCGCCGCGCTGCTTAAGCTAAACAAATACCCAAATAAGCTGCAATTACCATGAAAAGGAGACGCTTAGAGTACATATATTATTACTTTAACAAAGACCGTAGGGCCGTCGTCAGAAAAACTCCACCGCGGCCGGGCCACCTATTTCCCAGCCCGTCGGGGCGGCGGAGGGGCGGCGGCCCCGAGCACCTCGGGGGGTTTGGGCTTGGGGGGTGGGGGGAGTGTTCCCGGGATGCCGGGAAAAGTGGG